ACCACGCTATTTTGAAGAATGAAACATCTTGTAGTGCTATTATCTTAAAGAACTATTTCTGACAATTTTTTAAGGCTGCGTGGTGAAATCAGGCACTGGTAAAAATAATTTGGCATTTAAAAAAATCGAATTTCTACTTTTTTGGCTAGGCGCTTTTCATGTCTATTAAAAACACATCTTACGCTCATATGACCTTATGCAGTTGCGAGCGCCGTAAAACCTCTACTAAAACTACTAAAAAACACATCTTTGAGTGGGTTTTACTGAAAAACATCTATTAAAGGCACAAAAAATGTAAATTGTCAGTTTCCACAGACTCTCATGCTAAGGAAATAACAAAACTTTGGCGGCCATTTTCTGGCAAAGTTGACCTCTGAAGCCGAGTGACCCCCACCTCCTTTAATTACCAATATCTCGATTTGTATACAGGATAAATGGATATTTTTGTAATATAAAGGTAGACAAATGAACAAGCTTTTAGATGATACCGTAACCCAATTTGTCAAAACATTGACGAGCGCCTGATTCCATCACGTTGTGACACATTTCATTCATTCTGGTTTCAGGTTAGCAGAACTGCGTGACGTGGTGTTGGAGCTCCGGAATAAACAAGACCAAGAGGCGAACGACCGGAGGGCACTGGAGCAGCAGCTGCAGCAGAAGTGCGTTTGTTTTTTTGATATATTTGAAGAAAAGATAGGATAAGATAAGATAAAATATAAAATAAGATAAGATTTTCTTCTTCTTCTTTGGTCTTCCTTGTTCTCGCTGACAGCAGTTAGACAGTCAGTCCGATGTTGCGCATAAACTGTGCCGTCTGCTTCAAATATAAGATAATATATAGATAAGAATAAGATACATCTTTATTGTTCAGACCCTGTCACATTGGTATAGTGTCACCACGTGCACACACCCATACGCACAGACACACACACACTCACATAAAACACACACAAACGCGCGCACACACACACATACCCACCCACCCACACAGACACACACACACTCACACACTCACACACAAACACACGCACTCCAACACGTACACTAACATACAAACACGTACACACACATACACACACACACACACACACACACACGCACACACACACACACTCACACACACACACATACCCA